CCGAAGCCCAAAGCCCCAAACCCTAAACCCTGAACCCTAACCCTAAACCCTAAACCCTAAACCCTAAACCCTAAACCCTAAACCCCTAGAACGCAGACTTCAACGAGGATGCCCATGTTCTTTGCGGCGCTGGCACCCTTTGGGATGCTCGGGCTCACAACCACGCGGGATTCAGAGTGTGCTTCGTATGTTTAGGGTCTTGGGATGGTGTATGCTTCGGATTTTGAGGGTTTAGGGTTTAGGGTTTAGGGTTTAGGGTTTAGGGGTTTAGGGTTTAGGGTTTAGGGTTTAGGGTTTAGGGTTTAGGGTACAGGGGCGTATGCTTCGGACGTTTAGGGTTTAGGGCGCGCAGTGCATGCAGACATTATGATTTGACTGAGAGAAGAGATCTTAATTTCTCAGTCCCTTTTCGTTTTGCTTTCCATCAGGCCTTTCTCATTCAGGATGTATTTTTGTTTATAGGGTTCCACTGAGGGTGCCACTTGGATCGAAGATGGGAGCTTGCTGCAACGCCTCCCTTACCCCGAAAATCTATCTTTTTGCGGCTCCTTATTATAATTCCCCTTCATATCTGTCTTGCAGAGAGTTTTTGGGTTTCAGGTAGACCTTGTACTTTGGCCCAGAACTCGGTGCGGCCGGCACTGAGAAAGATGTGGAATGCTTGACAGCGCTGCCAGTACAACGGTTTGTTGAGCTCATTTACAACCCTAGTTGCTGAGCCCCATGACCCTTACCCTAACCCATACTTGTAACCGGAAAGACCTACCATTTTAGGGCCCTGAACCCTAAACCCTAAACCCTAAACCCTAAACCATACCTGTAACCGGAAAGACCTACCCTTTTAGGGTTCCTGAATATGGTTTCTACATCTACTTCCTTGAAAAGGAAGGTCTTGTCGTCTAAGACCCTAAATGGGAGCTTCCGAAAAGAAGGGGGTACCTTATTTGGGGTCCTTATAATAGCGATCCTACTATTAAGGTACTATATTAGGGTCCCCTATTTTTGGAAACCCCCAAATCCTAATTTCATCCAGATCTGACGTGATCCTGGCCTTCGTCTTCGCCTCCGTCGTAGGCGGCCTCAACACTTGCGGATGTGCGGCCCGGCCGCGACATGTGGGGGGAAGCTTCCCAGCCTTAGCACCCCAAGTGGCTTTTGCAAAGCCTGTATAATTCTTTAAAAAGCTTGTACAAGGGGCTTTATTACAGCTTGTATAGTATATGTTGGGTACTGCCCCCACTCAGTAACAGTTGGATAATATTTCTATTATGGATATATTAGGCCCTTAATAATAGCCCTATTATAGACTGTTACTGTATGGGGGCAGTACCCAAAGTATATGGTCTCATATGATTGAAAGACAGGACTTAGATGGTGTAATGGGGCGGCAATATCGGAGCGCTGTACTAAGTTCGTCCAAACCCGAAGAGACCATTCGCCCCCACCGACAAAACTGGATTGATAGAGTTCTCGACTACAACCCTACTCTAAACCCTAAACCCTACTACAACGGTGAGATCCTAAATCCCACTTGCCCCGGAATGTCAGGCTTCCGAAGCCTTTTCCTCTTACAGGATTTAGGTTTTGGGGTAGAGTATAGTTTAGGGTGTAGGGTTCCGGTTTTGGGGCTGTATAATGGTACAGTGGAAGCCAGAAAGTTGGAACATCATTATCCCCATGCCCTTAACGTAAAGCATATGGAATCCCAGCACGAATCATCCCAAAACCATGTTCCAACTTTCTGGGATTCACTATTGTTGTGTAAGGCTGAGGGTGCGTATTTAACAATGCGAGACTCCACCGACACTGTTGGGTTCCAGCGCTTTTGGACTCTAGGTTTTTGGGTCTATTACATTAAAGTTTAGGGTTTAGGGTTTAGGGTTTAGGATTTAGGGTTTAGGGTCTATTGCATCACAGAAGTGTAGTGAAGGTCGATGGGCAGTGCTCTACATCAGTTGTCCCGTGTCGGGGTCCGAATCAGTTATGAGAGTGACTTTTTGCTACCCACGAAGGAAGACTCTAAACTAAACCCCAAACCCCCACCCACTCCCTCGGACTGTAGACCTCCAAGAAATCGATTTCGCGAAGCTTAACCCCCCGAGCCGCGAGAAAGCTCAGATTCCTCCGGCTCTCTCTCTCTCTCTCTCTCTCTCTCTCTCTCTCTTCCCGTTATACTGTACATACACCATACGCATACATATACACATACATATACACATATATACATGTATACCTATATACCTATATTATATACCTATATACATATAGACATATATAAACATATATACATATATGAGAGAGATACCTCTAGGGTCTATTTGATGCCCTATTTTTCTTACTGATTAGATAGATGGTAAACAATTGAAATAATTGAAACAATTCAACTCACCGGGAAGTATTTCAAGTTTTCAATTATTTGGGACTCCCAAATAATTGAAATCCTTATCTGCTTGTGTAAGCCACCAAACCCCAGCGTTTCAATAATTGACACAATTGGAACAATTGAAATAATTTAAAGAATTGCAAAAAGCCCGATTTCAATTATTTCGACTATTGAAATGGTGCTCACCTGATCGCCCGGTTTCAATTATTTCAAGTATTTGGGATTCCAAATACTTGAAATAATTGAAATCCTTATCTATTTGTGTAAGCCGCCAAACCCCACCAATTCAGTAGTTGAAGTAATTGAAATAAGCCCGATTTCAATTGTTTCAAGTTTTTAAATTTTATGGGGCCCCAAACAATTGAAACAATTGAAGTATTTTGGGACCCCAAATAATTGACATAATTGAAATAGGCCCGATTTCAATTATTCCAATTATTGAAATGGCGGGGTTGGGCGGCTCTGGCTCACCCGACCTCTCGAATTCAATTATTTCAATTATTTGGGACCCCAAATAATTCAAATATTTCAAATAATTGAAATCTCTATCTATTTGTGTAAGCCGCCAAACCCCACCAGAATCAATTTTTGAAATAATTGAACTAAGGCCGATTTCAATTGTTTCAACTATGTTGGGATCCCAAATACTTGAAACAAATGAAAGAGGCCCGGTTTGATTTTTTTTTTCAATTATTGAAATGGTGGGGTTTGGCGGCCCTGAGCTGACTTTACCCTCAATCAGTACACATGTAACACAGTCCCCAAACTGATTTCACTACGGATTTTTGCCCGATCACTTCAGCCCCCTGTGCCGTAAACCCTTTTCCCCAATGTACCCTAATCCGTCGAGGTGCCTTTAAAGTGCGAGGCGAGCTCGCACTTCAGCAACAGTGTCTGCGCATTGAAGCATCCGCAAGCTGAAGACGATTTCCAGCTGCACTTGGAAGTCGTGTGCTGTCTTCGGCTTTGAGTGTAATCACATAGGATGACGACTGCCACTGCTACTGCTACTGCTTCTGCTACTGCTGCTGCTGCTGCTATTGCTGCTGGCCCTGCTGCTCCTGTCTCGGCTGCTGCTTTTAGGAGTGCTGCTGCAACTGCTGCAACTGCTGCAACTGCTGCTGCTGCT